TCCCGCCTTCGAATTTCTCATAAAAGTATTTCTTTTCACTTCCCTGAAGAAGGGAGCATCCAGGTTTGAATAGGGCACCTCTCGATCTGCAGTCGAATGCTCTACCACTGAGCTATACACCCGCGTCAGCTAACCTTTGCTTTACGTTCCGTAGGAACGGATACGAAAATGCGCTTTGTCAAGAAATAAGCAGAACGGGACAGGTCATTCCCACCTTTGACCCCTCCCCATATTATTGGTCCTATTGTTCCTGAGCGGGGTGTTTAAATTTATTTAAATCGTGATTATCTCAGGTTTGGCTGGTCCGATTGACTGAAGGTTAGTATCGTTCAACTCTGCTCGTGACCGCCTTTCGTCCTTGGTCCAGCTTGCCCTGCTAAAGATTTTTAGAAAGATTTTAATCTTGTTACGCCAAAGAAGTATAACTTCTTACGTGCGTACATAAGTACACACACACACTTTTTTTTTAATTGCCTCCCACTATGGAAGTAATTTTAAAGACGTATTCACGTCAAAAAAGTCAAGGTCTATGGGTGGGAGGAGGGGTCCGGACCATCCCCCTCCCTTGTTTGCGCCACTGAGCTAGACGAAAAATTTATGTAATAATATTCCAAGGCGCAAGAGAACTGGTGCAATTCCGAGAGTTACGTTTTACAATCTTCCACCATTGATCACGTAACGAAATTGCTTGCAAATTCACTGAATTTCTTTATATAACATTTTAATATGTTATACATGAATTTTTATGTGCAGATGTAATTCTATTGATAATCTTAATTGTGCACACTTCTTGCTTGATTAATTATTCAAGTAGTTGCATTACTTTTGACGTAAAAAGTTTTGAATAAAATATATACTTTGCAGGTAACTCATAGATTTTTAAGAATATATAAATCATAATAAAACATCTGTGGCGTTTATAACTTTATATTTATAAGAATATATTAATGGAATTCAAAATTAACACTCGATAATTGGTGAACAAGCAAGAAAACTCAAGCATCTGTTGAATTTTTCAATTGTTCTCAAACCACAGTTATTTCGCTGTAAATATCAGAGAGAGTAAAATTATAGCATAACTTCTTTGGATTCCAACTTTCGGATTTACTATTCTTTTTCTCTATTAAATGCATTACAAACTGGTTCATTGAAGTTACAGGTTCCTTTTATTGTCTTAGATAAGTAAGTAACATAATGAAATTTAACAAACACACTGGGTAAAAATTATGTTTTTTCACCTCATAGTTTTACATTATTCGATTGTAGAATCAAAGCGGAATATGTCAAATGTGAGCCCAGGCAGAACGTGTTAGACGTTTAAAAAGGAAATGCAAAATCTCTTCACCACTGCAATCGATTCAAAACTTAAAATTCAAATCTTGTCTACGTAACAAAGCGAAAATCAATTAATTCAAAGCTAATCGTAGCTGAAAGTTTTTTATTCTCATAAAGTTGATTAAAAAAAATTATTTCAAAGTTTAATTAATTTACCAAACTCACTTATGAATAAAAACACAATTATAATTTACGTGGATTTCCTAGTAGTACTAACATATATTTTTCATTATCTTAATCGCCAAAATCCTTTTTACGCTACATTCCAACATTCACTTAATACCAAAATTTTCGATATTTTGCTGGGAGCTTTCGGTGCTAGATAGCGCGCTATGTCTCTCTAAATATTCCCTTTTTCAATGCGTCCGTAAGCAATATCGACTTATGTGGAATTTATTTGTTAGAAAATTAATTGATAAGTTTAAAACTCAAATTATTTTAATTTCAAAAGAAAACTCGATTGTAAGAGAGTATGAGCAGAGATACAAAATTATTGAAGATAATTTTAGGTTTTCGGAATGTGTGTGAGAAATTCAAATAGAAGTGTCAATAGAAATAATTGATAGTAAAGCTTCGTTCTCTCAAGTGAGGAATACACACAGAGGCGTCAGAGGAAAAATACCAGCAGATGACCGGATTTTACGGCTGCGGTTAATTCTTCACGCTAGGCGGCGCTAGTCGAGGTCTCGAGCCCAAATCAATCTCGTCCACAGTGGGTGTGAACATATAATATTGTTTTGAAGTGTCTTCTTTCGCAGTCCCGGATAACTTTATGTCATATTAAAAGGAACAAAGAGTGTTTGAAAAAGCTCCCTCCTTGAAAAAACAGCAATGGAATATCGTTTGATGCTTCAACGGCTTTCACAAAGTATGCTATGAGAACCAAGAGGGTTTTTGAGCTATTCGGACTCTCTCAAAAACCTGGTGAAATGAGAGTTGAAGATCTTGCATATTCAGGAGTTAAAGCTCTAAAAGCTTTAGTGCATAGAAAGAAAGAAGATTCTTACATTAGTAATGAGTAAAGATTTTTTTTCCATTATAAATTTAAATGTAGTATTGTTTTTCTTTCTTTTGTATTTCCTATGGTAAGGAAATCATTTTAGGAAATAAACTTTTTACAAATATGCAGAAATAAAAATACGTTATAATGCAAAGCTTAGAAGTTACTAAATAATTTAGTTGCTTTTTTTCTTTTTCAATTTATTAGAAAATAAGGGAACCCTTAAATCTCGTGAAGGAAGTTATTTAAGAAAGAGACTGCAGATTATACATTTTAAAACTGGATAACTTGCTTTATATACTGACTAATTGCTTTTTTTGGGAGAAAAATCTTGTCTTTAACTTGATTATTCACATTTGTAGGCTAATAATTTACCTCCTAAAATTTCAAAAGAAATGCTTCAAAATAATAAACCATCTTAATTAAACAAAAATGTCTATAAAAAAAATCTAATTTTATATCATACTCATCATATCCTCTCCAAAAAAAAAGAAAGAAAAATATGTATAATCTACTCTAACTTCCTACTCACTGAAAAATATATATTTCTCGAGTGTAAATTTTCTGCAGGAATACATCTCCATTAGAATTTTGCAGTATCTACTCTCTAGCATTATTCTTTCTGTTATTTCGTATTTATAAGGAAGATGAATGTTTTCAACTTCTTTGAACTAACTAGGATTGTTGAAAATTATGGGTTTATTGCAAGCATTAGTACATTATATTGAAGTATTTGCATAAAATAATATTTTCTTTTATGAAAATACGAATGCAAGAAATTTAAAATTTTAAATGAACACACACACACTAATTACAATGTTTAAAAAGAAAAAGATATCGAATTTTATGCTATTAACTGTTACAAATGGTAATTTATTTAGTTTTTAAGCAATTTATAGAAGCTTTAGGTGCAGCTTTGTGATGAAGCACTTTTTAATTAATTACTTTTAAAACCTTTGTTCTGTTATAGAAACTTCTCAGAAAAACACCATAACAAGTATTTATTTATTGGGGATAAATTTACACACACCTTTTTTTCTCCATATTTTGTATAATAATGAAAAAGTATCATTCCAAAAATGCATGAAATGATTAAAAATTTTCTTTCAAAATCTCAATAGAACTAATACTATTTCAAACCACATAAACATAAAATTAAATTTAATCATCCTAAAAGTCAATTATTTAGAAAATTATGAAGCATTTAAGCATCTTTAAAAACTAATAGAAACCTTGTTGCATCAAGAAATATCAAGTTTTTTTATTCCTTCCTCTCTCATCTTCTAACATATTCACATTACTACTATCGCATTACTTTTCGGATTCTTCATGTCCAAATCCTCTTTTCCCTAAAGATTTTCCTGTCCCCAATGCTATATATCTAACACGGCTGGGAGAAACCCACTTCTCCTGCGCTCCAGAATAGACTCGTCCAGACGCAATCTCCCAATGCCAGCTGTATTGTATTTGAGACGCTAGTGAGTATCCCTGTTATATGCCTTAAACGCTTATATCTTTAGGAAAACACACCGGTTTCGGAGAAACCAGTTTCTCAGAGAGAATCAGAATCTCGGCCTTGGTCTACAAGAGCATTAAGTTTTCCACTATATAAGAAAATGTTTCTATTTAAGTTAGTGGTACACTTTCAACATAAAGTAAATTTTATAATATTAGTAAAATGTGTTTTCTTTTGTTCTTGTCGCTCTATTTAGTAAATTGAAAAATTTGTTCTTTTTTTTACTATAATTTTCTTAATATAAACAATAGTTGCACCGTTGTTAAAAAAAATACGTTTCCCATGACAGATGTTCACCGGTCATGATTAAGTTAAAAGCGATCCCACACAGCCGTTAAATAACAGTAATGAATATTATCTTAAGATGGTGATCATAGACACTTTTCCTTTTTCACGAAAACTAAATAACGGTGAAACTCAACGTCGTCGCTGGTTGGTTTATTCAAGTTCTAAAAATAAAATTTTCTGTTTTTCATGCAGACAATTTGGCAATTCACAAACTCAAATGGTACAGGAATGGTGCTGTGATTGGAAACACATAAGGCTGCATTCACACCAAGGCTGTCAGCGTCGAGCGTCTAGCCAATCAGAGACTTCATCTCGCCCGAGAGGAAGTCTTTGATTGGCTAGACGCTCAACGCTGACAGCCTTGGTGTGAATGCAGCTTAAGAGAGATAGAGAATATTTTACACAGGCAGGAAAATACTTAAGAACATATGGCCTATATGTCCCAATGGATAACATTAGAGAAAGGAATAAAGCTCGAAAAAACATTAGACAGAGATAACGGAAGGCGAATTCTTGAATCTCAAAAGCATTGGTATAATTTGTTTGGGGGATTAATTTATAACATAAATTTCTTAGCGGATCATAATCTGACGTTTAGAGGTCACAGAGAATCTCTCAAATCTGACAAAGACGCTAAAAATTCTGGAAAATTTTATACACTTATTTAGACTAAATATGATCCCACGTTACGTGAACTCATACATCGCATTTATAACAAACAACTTGCACGCCATTATCTAAGCCACGATATTCAAAAGGACTTGATCACAATCATGTCAAACACAGTTACCAGTGAAGTGATTGGTAGGATAAAAGAGGCAAAATATTATTCTTTTTTACTCGACTGCACTACAGACTGTAGTAGAATTTAACAAATGTCGGTCATCTTACGATATTGTAGTACATCAACTGGAAGTATAGAAGAAAACTTGATCGAATTTCTTGCTGTCACTGAAACGACTGGAGAATATTAGACCAATGCA